CACTCACCGCGCGAGACGCGTGGCGTGCCACAAACCAGTAAGCAGCAGCCTCCACTGCTGCGACTCGAATGCTTCAAACGCGCACCTGTGCTTGCGCACGGCGTGCTCTACACGAGCCTCCCTACCGCACGAGCGTGCGGGCGGCTCGAATCCACCCTTCCCCCGCCCTAGCCACTGTTGGCTGGGCGGCGGGCGCCGTCCGCCTTGCGGCGGCGGCGACACTCGCAACACGAGCACACCTCGCTTCGGTGTGCTCGACCCTTCACAACGGGCCGCACGCAAGGACGCGTGTGCGGCCCTCTCTACTCGACCTGTGCCACGGCACAGGTCGTTCTAGTCATGCAGCCGCCCCGGCGATCGTGCTCGGGGCGTATCTCAGCACTCACCGCGCGAGACGCGTGGCGTGCCACAAACCAGTAAACAGCAGCCTCCGCTGCTGCGACTCGAATGCTTCAAACGCGCACCTGTGCTTGCGCACGGCGTGCTCTACACAAGCCTCCCTACCGCACGAGCGTGCGGGCGGCTCGAATCCACCCTTCCCCCGCCCTAGCCACTGTTGGCTGGGCTGCGGGCGCCGTCCGCCTTGCGGCGGCGGCGACACTTGCAACACGAGCACACCACCACACCTCGCTTCGGTGTGCTCGATCCTTCACAACGGGCCGCCCGCAAGGACGCGCGTGCGGCCCTCTCTACTCGACCTGTGCCACGGCACGGGTCGTTCTAGTCATGCAGCCGCCCCGGCGATCGTGCTCGGGGCGTATCTCAGCACTCACCGCGCGAGACGCGTGGCGTGCCACAAACCAGTAAGCAGCAGCCTCCGCTGCTGCGACTCGAATGCTTCAAACGCGCACCTGTGCTTGCGCACGGCGTGCTCTACACGAGCCTCCCTACCGCACGAGCGTGCGGGCGGCTCGAATCCACCCTTCCCCCGCCCTAGCCACTGTTGGCTGGGCGGTGGGCGCCGTCCGCCTTGCGGCGGCGGCGACACTTGCAACACGAGCACACCTCGCTTCGGTGTGCTCGACCCTTCACAACGGGCCGCCCGCAAGGACGCGTGTGCGGCCCTCTCTACTCGACCTGTGCCACGGCACGGGTCGTTCTAGTCATGCAGCCGCCCCGGCGATCGTGCTCGGGGCGTATCTCAGCACTCACCGCGCGAGACGCGTGGCGTGCCACAAACCAGTAAGCAGCAGCCTTCGCTGCTGCGACTCGAATGCTTCAAACGCGCACCTGTGCTTGCGCACGGCGTGCTCTACACGAGCCTCCCGACCGCACGAGCGTGCGGGCGGCTCGAATCCACCCTTCCCCCGCCCTAGCCACTGTTGGCTGGGCGGTGGGCGCCGTCCGCCTTGCGGCGGCGGCGACACTCGCAACACGAGCACACCTCGCTTCGGTGTGCTCGATCCTTCACAACGGGCCGCCCGCAAGGACGCGTGTGCGGCCCTCTCTACTCGACCTGTGCCACGGCACGGGTCTTTCTAGTCATGCAGCCGCCCCGGCGATCGTGCTCGGGGCGTCTCTCAGCACTCACCGCGCCAGACGCGTGGCGTGCCACACAAACCAGTAAGCAGCAGCCTTCGCTGCTGCGACTCGAATGCTTCAAACGCGCACCTGTGCTTGCGCACGGCGTGCTCTACACGAGCCTCCCGGCCACACGAGCGTGCGGGCGGCTCGAATCCACCCTTCCCCCGCCCTAGCCACTGTTGGCTGGGCGGTGGGCGCCGTCCGCCTTGCGGCGGCGGCGACACTTGCAACACGAGCACACCTCGCTTCGGTGTGCTCGACCCTTCACAACGGGCCGCCCGCAAGGACGCGTGTGCGGCCCTCTCTACTCGACCTGTGCCACGGCACGGGTCGTTCTAGTCATGCAGCCGCCCCGGCGATCGTGCTCGGGGCGTATCTCAGCACTCACCGCGCGAGACGCGTGGCGTGCCACAAACCAGTAAGCAGCAGCCTTCGCTGCTGCGACTCGAATGCTTCAAACGCGCACCTGTGCTTGCGCACGGCGTGCTCTACACGAGCCTCCCGGCCACACGAGCGTGCGGGCGGCTCGAATCCACCCTTCCCCCGCCCTAGCCACTGTTGGCTGGGCGGTGGGCGCCGTCCGCCTTGCGGCGGCGGCGACACTTGCAACACGAGCACACCTCGCTTCGGTGTGCTCGACCCTTCACAACGGGCCGCCCGCAAGGACGCGTGTGCGGCCCTCTCTACTCGACCTGTGCCACGGCACGGGTCGTTCTAGTCATGCAGCCGCCCCGGCGATCGTGCTCGGGGCGTATCTCAGCACTCACCGCGCGAGACGCGTGGCGTGCCACAAACCAGTAAGCAGCAGCCTCCGCTGCTGCGACTCGAATGCTTCAAACGCGCACCTGTGCTTGCGCACGGCGTGCTCTACACGAGCCTCCCGACCGCACGAGCGTGCGGGCGGCTCGAATCCACCCTTCCCCCGCCCTAGCCACTGTTGGCTGGGCGGTGGGCGCCGTCCGCCTTGCGGCGGCGGCGACACTTGCAACACGAGCACACCTCGCTTCGGTGTGCTCGACCCTTCACAACGGGCCGCCCGCAAGGACGCGTGTGCGGCCCTCTCTACTCGACCTGTGCCACGGCACGGGTCGTTCTAGTCATGCAGCCGGCCCGGCGATCGTGCTCGGGGCGTCTCTCAGCACTCACCGCGCGAGACGCGTGGCGTGCCACACAAACCAGTAAGCAGCAGCCTCCGCTGCTGCGACTCGAATGCTTCAAACGCGCACCTGTGCTTGCGCACGGCGTGCTCTACACGAGCCCCCCGACCACACGAGCGTGCGGGCGGCTCGAATCCACCCTTCCCCCGCCCTAGCCACTGTTGGCTGGGCGGTGGGCGCCGTCCGCCTTGCGGCGGCGGCGACACTTGCAACACGAGCACACCTCGCTTCGGTGTGCTCGACCCTTCACAACGGGCCGCCCGCAAGGACGCGTGTGCGGCCCTCTCTACTCGACCTGTGCCACGGCACGGGTCTTTCTAGTCATGCAGCCGCCCCGGCGATCGTGCTCGGGGCGTCTCTCAGCACTCACCGCGCGAGACGCGTGGCGTGCCACAAACCAGTAACGAGTAAGCAGCAGCCTCCGCTGCTGCGACTCGAATGCTTCAAACGCCACCTGTGCTTGCGCACGGCGTGCTCTACACGAGCCTCCCTACCGCACGAGCGTGCGGGCGGCTCGAATCCACCCTTCCCCCGCCCTAGCCACTGTTGGCTGGGCTGCGGGCGCCGTCCGCCTTGCGGCGGCGGCGACACTCGCAACACGAGCACACCTCGCTTCGGTGTGCTCGACCCTTCACAACGGGCCGCCCGCAAGGACGCGTGTGCGGCCCTCTCTACTCGACCTGTGCCACGGCACGGGTCGTTCTAGTCATGCAGCCGCCCCGGCGATCGTGCTCGGGGCGTATCTCAGCACTCACCGCGCGAGATGCGTGGCGTGCCACAAACCAGTAAGCAGCAGCCTCCGCTGCTGCGACTCGAATGCTTCAAACGCGCACCTGTGCTTGCGCACGGCGTGCTCTACACGAGCCTCCCGACCGCACGAGCGTGCGGGCGGCTCGAATCCACCCTTCCCCCGCCCTAGCCACTGTTGGCTGGGCGGTGGGCGCCGTCCGCCTTGCGGCGGCGGCGACACTTGCAACACGAGCACACCTCGCTTCGGTGTGCTCGACCCTTCACAACGGGCCGCCCGCAAGGACGCGTGTGCGGCCCTCTCTACTCGACCTGTGCCACGGCACGGGTCGTTCTAGTCATGCAGCCGCCCCGGCGATCGTGCTCGGGGCGTATCTCAGCACTCACCGCGCGAGACGCGTGGCGTGCCACAAACCAGTAAGCAGCAGCCTCCACTGCTGCGACTCGAATGCTTCAAACGCGCACCTGTGCTTGCGCACGGCGTGCTCTACACGAGCCTCCCGGCCGCACGAGCGTGCGGGCGGCTCGAATCCACCCTCCCCCCGCCCTCGCCACTGTTGGCTGGGCGGTGGGCGCCGTCCGCCTTGCGGCGGCGGCGACACTTGCAACACGAGCACACCTCGCTTCGGTGTGCTCGACCCTTCACAACGGGCCGCCCGCAAGGACGCGTGTGCGGCCCTCTCTACTCGACCTGTGCCACGGCACGGGTCGTTCTAGTCATGCAGCCGCCCCGGCGATCGTGCTCGGGGCGTATCTCAGCACTCACCGCGCGAGATGCGTGGCGTGCCACGAACCAGTAAGCAGCAGCCTTCGCTGCTGCGACTCGAATGCTTCAAACGCGCACCTGTGCTTGCGCACGGCGTGCTCTACACGAGCCTCCCTACCGCACGAGCGTGCGGGCGGCTCGAATTCACCTTTCCCCCGCCCTCGCCACTGTTGGCTGGGCGGTGGGCGCCGTCCGCCTTGCGGCGGCGGCGACACTTGAAGCGGTCGCGGCGCGTATGCGTCGTACTGTTAGGGCGGCCGGGCCCGAAGACGGCCCCGCCAGGCTCTGCATAAGGCCATCTTCGCCACAACGCGTGGCATTGGTCCAACTACGGCAACCCACAGCGAGGGGGGCCGCTTAGGCGACCTTGCTCACATCAGCTGCATATGCTTCAGTGGTGCAAGGAGGAGTGGAGAGGGACCTTTGACGGTGTCTGGCCCATGCGGGTTGGCACGTACCTAGTTGGCGCAATGCGCCGCGACCGTTGTGGAGCGCGGGGCGGCGGCGTCGATAGATATCGACGCCGCCGTCGCCGCGCATCATGACGAGTTCGCATTCCCCATGTGACCCTCTATACCTCACCTTCGAGACAAGCCAGGGGGTTCAACCCGCAATGGACCTAGTGTGGCGTCGAGGCCCGCACTGTCTGGACATGCGGGCCGCGGCTGACAGAACGGCGGGCTAGGCATTGAGAGCCCAGGAGTTTTAATCTCTCTCTCTCTCTCTCACCTCACTACTGTCTCGCCCACCCCGTCTACCTTCGATCCCCTAAAGTAGGACAGGCTCGCGCGAATCCTACTCTTGCCCTACTCGTACATTCCGCTGCCCATCCGCTGCCGCCCGCGCCGATGGCCTCCCACCGCATCGGCGCGCGCGTCGCGGGCCTCTCGCCAGAGCAGCTGTGCGCCATCATCGAGGCGCAGGCGGGCGCGAGCGACG